GTACCCGCTCAGTGATTTTCAAAGACACGTGGAGGCGCGCCACAGATGCCCCCATCATCCGTGTGCTACAAAGCGCCCAAGTAAAGGAACGTGATGCTCCTAAGAGCACGGCAGGACAAAACTAAGTTCAACCAACAGAGGCGAAGGTTATCGAGAGTTTCTCTGGTGGTGGGAGGGGGGAGGGGGATAAGTTAGATGCTTAAAAAAAGAGCAATAAAAATATTAAATTCCGATTTAAAGCTTTCGTGACTGCAGGGGTTCATCTTCTTGGTTCTTTCGGTAAAGTCACGTAGAAGGGAAAGTAATAAAATAATAAAAATAAAACATAATAAAATAATTCTCACGACGTTTCGGCCGCAACGCAAGCAGCCGTCTTCACCGGAGGACGGCTGCTTGCGTTGTGGCCGAAACGTCGTGAGAATTATTTTACTGTTTTATTTTTATTATTTTATTACTTCCCTTCTACGTGACTTTACCGAAAGAACTAAGAAGAATAAGAAATATTCTCCATAGTTAAAAGACCCCGTGGGAAGCAGCATTCTAAGGATATTGGCGGAGAAGCGGTAAATAAGAAGAGCAGCACTGTACAGATTTGAGGTTTGTATTGCAGTCTCGGCCAAAAGACGTCAGCTGAATTTTTGTCTTCCATGTTTTATTCCCTTATAAATAAATACGACGTCGGTGAGACACGTAAGTACGCACGTTATTCGCGAAAAAAATCCTAATGCGACAAGCCTGAAATAATAAGTACGCACGAGGTTTAGAGTACCTGATTCATCGGAGGGGAAAAAAAGAAGCCGATAAACAATAAACATGAATCGTATAAACGCGCAACGCAAAACCGTACGCAAGAAGACGCCGTGCACCAACCGTGTACAGACACATTTAAAAAAAAACTTTCTCGTTGAGAAACTCTGAAGGGAGATTTGAGCAAAGTCGTTTTCTGAAAATGAGTTTGCTTTGTATGTGCGTGTGTAGGTTGAACTTATTTTTCACCGTACGTAAGCCAACCGTGCTAATCGGGGTTTTGTTTTCGGTCGGACTAAACCTACAGCTCGCATCCTCGTAAACCACGCTTGGAGCCATAAATTATAACGACTTGCATTTAGAATCCGCTGGCTTGCGTGCTAATCTAGTGCTCGTTAATTCGTGAACTGGTACTAGAGGTTCGAACCGAGACATCGGAACCCATGATACTGACACACAAACGTCATTATCTCACAAGCTGTATTGGGAGAAGCCAACAGGAATGTGGAATTTACACCTCTGGCTTAAGAGGCCGCAGAGATGAACACCACTCCATACTTGTCATAACACAAAGACAAAGGTCTCCCATATAGCTTTAACAAAACTCTTAGAAGTGCTGTTAGCGAGCACCTAACAAGGCCGGCACGGGACATGAGGGGTGTGGGTGGTCAGCACCACGCATTTTGTCTCCCCAGTGGCGAAGATTTGACACACCGCATCAGGTACTCACTTGAGGTCGAGTCGACCTAGGAGAGGTCCAGTACCGGTTCAGACAATCGTCACTGGTGTTGGCCGTTTTGAGCGTTGCTTGTCTATTAAAGAAATCGGTGTGATCACGGAATACTTGAAGTTTTAGAACGTAGTCCTGGAATTATGAATTACGTGATCCGATTACTTTTCTTCACCACCATAGCATCTGTACATTCGTGTATTAGTTTAGCATTAACCTCAGCTGACCAAATATTGCCAATGACTAAATCACTCGTTGCGCCTGATCTCGTCGCACTCTCGGAAGCTCAGCAGCCACCATGCACAACATGTCGTCGTCGTCGTAGGCTGTGGTGGTGAGCACAAGACGACAGTGCAGAACACTCCATTGTTGTACCGTACTTCTGTGCTCCGCACAGTGAACAACCCGCAATCAACAGTGTAAAGTCTCATCCAGTCACGCTCACGATCCGCGATGAAGTCTCCATCCAGCAGCGGATTGCCAAAGGGCTGTACATGCGCCATACCAACACTAGCATTGTTACAGGCCGTGGATCGTGATCTGCCATGCTGTGTGTTCCGCACACACCCCCATGTTGCTGATACAATAATTTCACCCCATCGAATAATTTGGGAATATTTAAAAAACATCTTTAAAAGGAACACTAACCATAATAGTAAAATAAAAACGTTATCGAGCAGGACATGCTTTGCGACCGTAACCTGATTACACACCGAGAGCAGAGTGATAATAAGGGATTAGCAGACCTCGCTTTTAGCTATTTGGTTACCGTGACACGCTCAAGCAATTGGGCCAGCTGTTCTTTCCAAGGGCACGTGCTCGTTGGGGCTAAAACGGGCCCGAGTCATGACACGTTTGTGAGAACGGAACAGAAAGTTGCGCTGCCTAGCGTCACGGTGGGTGGTGTGGGGGGGCGGCGTAAATCTGACCGTGACGCACAGCTAATACTGCTGCCCGCCAGAAAGGCACAGTGGTCGGTACAGCGTGCAAATGCGTGACACTCCAAGAGACATCATCATTTTCGTCACAGTCTCATCACCGATGGCTCAGGCATAGGTAGGGGGGAGGTTTTTAAAACTGTCTTTTTCGACAAATGCCTCAATGCTCGTGTCGGCTTGGATAGCTGGTGGCGAAATAAGATGGTGAGCTTGCGATGTCCATTAACAAGTCACTTATTGCAGTAGGCTGGCTTCTCCTCATCTGTATGAATGTTTCGATTTAAAGCTTTCGTGACTGCATGGATTCATCTTCTTGGTTCTTTCGGTAAAGTCACGTAGAATGGAAATAATAAAATAATAAAAATAAAACAAAATAAAATAATTCTCACGACGTTTCGGCCACAACGCAAGCAGCCGTCTCCACCTGAGGACGGCTGCTTGCGTTGTGGCCGAAACGTCGTGAGAATTATTTTATTTTTTATTTTTATTATTTTATTATTTCCATTCTACGTGACTTTACCGAAAGAACCAAGACGATGTATGAATGTTAAACTTCTTTCGCACCTTACAGAGCCAACCTTGGCAATCGGAGATTGCAAACACACTGGGCTGTGTTCAGCTCATGGTCCACCCAAAGCCGCATCCACTGCACAAACAAATAGCAGACGCGGATACCTGATGCCCAAATAGAAAATGTTAAACTCTCCAATGCGCGACAGTGGTCAACCAGAGCAGACTGTGGTCTTCCAGAACATATAACGACACGATGCCGGATCGACAAATATTGAGGCATCATAGCAATACACTTCGCTGCTCTTGACGCGGTTATCTGGCTTGAGCACCTGAATGTGAAGTTGAAGTTGTTTCTCTGAATCTACATCAGCTGTACGGATGAAGAAGCCATTAGAATGACACACGGGAGGTGCGACAACCTCCTCCATAAGCGTGCAAGGAGCCGACTAATCTTGACTGTACACTATGGGAACCTCATTTGCCAGTAAAAATATGATAATTGGTTTTTTACCCTTCTATCTGGCAACAAAACTGACACCTTTTTACAAAGAGTCATGTTTGCATAGACCGCAATACCTGCAGTCATAATACAAACAAAAGACATAACTCTGATGTGTACTGTCCTTGAAGTTGATTGGTCCACACCCCAGACAGCTTTCCTTTGTCTTGGGTGTGGACCAATCAACTTCAAGCACAGTACACATTATTAGAGTTATGTCTTTTGTTTGTATTATGACTGCAGGTATTGCAGTCTATGCAAACATGACTCCTTGTAAAAAGGTGTCAGTTTTGTTGCCAGATAGAAGGGTAAAAAAACAATTATCAATCTTGACTGTGTTGAAGTGCAATCCATGACTCACACCACTTTTGCAGGATGACTCCATCTGGTGACCCCCGCCCCCCCGATGCCATTGAACCGCTTTCTAAACTCAACACAGTCATAAACTCGGACCGTTGAATTTCAAATGCCGCATGGAAGAAATACTTGGCTGATCAGCTGGTGTTACTTTACAACGGGGTTAAGCCCATCGCTCGGGATATAAAAACTGCTAAAACATGCTGTGGCCTAGCCTCATATCGATTGATCGTAGGGTTAAGACCAGGCCAAGAGGAGGCCATAACTCACAACGTTACGCCTGTTGTTAAGCCGTAAGTTGTTTGGCGAATTAGCTCAAGGTAAGTCGGTGTCGCCCTGCTCCAATCGGGCACGGAGTAGTGCGCGTCTGGATTGGCTGCACCAAACCGGTGCTGGAAATTCCACACTCCCATGGCAAGAGCCAGTTTCGGCATAGGGCAAAGCACAAATCACAAATAATCACCACCCCATCCCCTCCCATTTTATGACTGACGCGTGTATTTTATCTTAAATGACACTGTATCGACCGCAGAAGGACAATGAGCTCGATCGACCCCTCTACCAGAACTTGCGCTTGCAACCTTCTCCAGAATGACATCCGCTGCTTAGATGATGTCAACGTTTAAATTGTGTTACGTGTTATATTCACGCAGAGGACCTGAGGATGGTATGGCTCAAAGATGAAACGCCTCTGAAGGATAATGGTACAGTCTAACGTTCGACCAGCATTCACCTGTGCACGCTGCTGTTATGCGGACGTACCATTTTGTTTACGGGCGTCTGACTTTTTCAGCCACTACGTTGGTTCGGAACTGACAGCTAAGGTAACATGAAACGAAGGCTACAGGCAAGCTGTGCTTGTGACTATATTTTTAAAAAAGAGGCAGCACTGGCAATGTTATTTAAGTCGATCGAAATCTAAGTATTATGAAACAACCTAAAATAAAGTTACGAAACTTTGAAAACAATGTCCTTGATCAAAATTGAAATCGTTTGAGAGTATGATCTTAAATTTTTCTCTAACCCCTCCCTCTCTCCGCCCCCGCCCCCTCTGTCTATTTAAGGCCTCGCCACAGAGACGATCTGCCTCTCTGTGCCTGTGTTACTCTCTCAATGTATCTTGGTGATATCTGTCTGCTTATATGTCTGTCTATAGTTTTCTGGCTAGATTTTTGTTGCCATTTCATTTATACCTGATGATGATTGCTTGTGTTGCAATCGAAACGTCGTATGCTATTATTTAATTTATTATTTTATCTTTATACATGACTTTACCGAAAGAACCAAAGAGCGTTTGAGAGTAGTTGCTAAGAGCCTCTACTACCAATAAATGTCGTCTGTTTAAAATGAGAAAAAAAAGAGTTGTTCTCCATGAAACAGAAAAAGCAGTTGTATACATTTAACCACAAGAGGGCATACTGAGATCCCCTTCCTCTCGAGAAAGAAACCTGGGTTCCCATCGTTATTTCAGCAAGAGTTATTCGGTCTTACGTTTCACTCTTGCGGGCGATGCTTCGGATTTGCATCCTTTCAATTCCCTACTCGTGAGAGTGACACCTAAGGGGTCTTTCATGTCCACTTCACCATGAAGGTCATATGCATGCTTTGGTAGTTACCCTCAGTATTCCCGGCTGGCTGCAGCAGTAGGAATACGAACCAGATACTCGGGCGCTATCGAGTCAACGATAAACGCTTCAACCACTAGGCTGCATTCAAGGTCGAGATGTCATCGGCGCCATCGCCACTAATGCCACAGACCCTGCCAGCCGTTGTTCGGTTGATACAAAGTGTTCCCCGTGTCCCAGAGTCGAGCTTTGGATCATCCATTTAGGCTTTAAGTACTTTAAGATGAAGCCAGATTTGAAAACGTTAAAACACATTCCTGCAGAGGGAGCTGGTAGGAACGTTGGGTTGCTCGGTCATTGGCCAGGGTCAACGGCGGCGTGGTGTATTCCGCAAATATGCCCGACTGTGAGGGCGGGCACAAGCCGGCGTGAGTAGGTTAAACGTTGAGTTTTATAAATAACACTGGACTACTGAACTGGAGCCTTAAAACATGTTAAAATTCAACTACAAGAAAGCTGTGACTCGAAGAGCATGCTCCAATGTATGTTGGAAATGTTAAATGTCTTGTAAACAGTTGGCCATCTGTGACAAAGATGAGTTAAAATCAGATGATCGTTCAAAATCAAAACATTCTCGACGAAGAAAAAAAACCTGCCTTGCTTTCAACAAATCATAGGCTTAAAGGACAAATGCAAAGCAACATTACCTACGACTCATTGCCCATCTGAACTCTGCATATATTATCCAAAACATTCTCTGACCAGAATTACTCGTCTAAAAAGAGATAGTTCCGCTGAAAAATAGTATTTATTTTATCCCCCGCGAGACAAAAATAAAGCTACACCAGACCATTTGTATATATTTTTTGGCTGCACGGCAGCTGAAAGATGCAATTGTTTTTTTGTTTTCCTCCTTGGGATATCTCAAATGTCACGTACGCCTTCGCTAACAGGAACATTACTAAGCGTACATCATGTCCATTCATCTACATGTTCCCGTAGTAAGCGAAATATGCACCTAGAGGCATTCAAGTGTTGCTTTGTCTCCTTTTATATAAAAAACAATCAAGCTTGTGTTTGTGTACATGTGTACGTGGGTGTATGTAAATGCAAACACCAAGTGCGGTAAACCAGCTCTCCTTACACTCAAAGGTCAAAGTTAACTCGAGTGTGGGTCACATTGCGAGGGCCGGTCTAGCCATAGGATGGCCATTATTGACTTCCCACAGATGTTTCATTGACCCCACAACCAGAATTTTAACGCGTGACCTTCTGATTGTGAATCGAGTGCTCCAACCACAGCGCTACCTGGCGCTGACAGAGCACCTTGAGACTTGGTGAGGTTTTCAGAGATAAGCAATCGTCGTGCGTCTGAACCTGGCAGTGCATGAGTGTGTTTGCATTTGTTTGTTAACGCACGATAATCCCAGTGACCTGGATCCAATTCCCGGTCATGCACAACTTTTGTGGACAACTCAATTTGTCTTGGCCTCCACTCAGTTGACCCAATCTGTAAACATCAGCACTGCAGAGATAAATGCGGCCTGGCCTGGCGCTGGCCATCCCATTATGCTCCGTGTCAGCTTTAATAGGTGCTCAATAACGGCACAGGGATCTGCGTCATCGTCTTTTGTTTGTCTGGGTTCATCTGTGTGCATATTTGTGTACTATATTATGTACGTGCATTCATGTGCATTTATATGCTTGTGTGTGTATGTGTGAGTGTGCACGTGAGTGAGCGAGTGGGTGCCTCTGTGTCCATACGGGTATGTGCGTGCACGCACGTGTGCATGGTACATCTGTCCCTTGCACTCCGCTAATTGTCACAAACTTCCGATTTCCCTCCTCACCCCTCACCCACTCGCCGCAGGAATCTGCTTCGATGCCACCGTCGGCAATGTCCCGTCCGGCGTCGACCTCAGTTCGATGGGCGCCCGATGAAACCTGGACACCAACCTTCGCACCTGATGTTGCTGTCCTTCGTGTTGCTGTCGCTGGTGTTGCCGTTCGCCCTTCCCTGGAATCCCACCCGCCTCTGCCGCAGCCGCCGCCGCCGCTGCGGCGGCCGCAGCTGGATCGTCCTCTCCGGCGAGCGGGGCCGGGCTGTCGAGTCGTGCACGCACGGCGTGGAAAGCGTAGTAGACCAGCGGCATGGCCACCCCCACGAGCAGCATCACGGCCACCGCGCTCCACCAGCGGATTCCACAGTCGGCGCCGTCGCACGAATCCTTCCGTCGGCGGTGATGCGAGGAGCCTTCGAGCTGCTGCTGCTGCTGCTGATGACTATCCTGACGAAACTCGAGCTGGTGCAAGTGCTGCCGAGGACCCAGCGGGTGAAAGCGCTTCTCGGTGAGCGCTTGCGTCACCTCCTCGAGCGAGGCCTTCGACACGTCGGTTCGTCGCGCGATGTTCGCGATGTCGCGGTCCATGACGCGCAGGAACGCCACCGCCGCCGCCGTCGCCGCCACCTCCGCTGGTGACGCCGGCGCCGGTACACCCGCAACCGGTGCTGTCGGCAAGCTGGAACCGCCGGTGACTACAGAGGCGCCGGCGGTGGTGGGCAAGGATGAGGTGGTTGATGATGATGATGATGAGGGTGGTGGTGGTAGCGGTCTCCTCCTCGCCTCCTCGACAGCGTCGGTGAGCAGCCCGTGGCGTCGCACAGGGATGCGCACGGAGCGCAACGCATACATGCCCTGCTCGCTCATCAGGTTGTTGGCGCGCTTGATGTCAGACACCTCCATGGCGGAGGGGGCAGCGGAGCAAGAAGACCACACGGGGAGGAGGGAGCAGCGGGGACACAAGAGGGCGAGAGGTGCCCGTGAGTATTTGTTTTGTTACTTCACCAGGTAAGACACAATAAGCTATGCAGCTCTTTTTCAGAAGTGACCTTGCTATCGTAAATTATAGCTCAACGAAGTTGCTTATCATGTGGACATTTAAAGCAGCCAAATACTCTAAACCAGACGATGGGGAGGAAAATCCACGTGACCACAGGGAGAAAATGCAAACTCCAAATATACAGGTGTCAGGATCGAAGCGACGACCTCCTGTATACCAGACGAGGTAGTTAACATCTCACTTTCGCGGCACGCCCATATGATAAACTTTCATAAGTGTGTCATCCTGTAAAAGTGGAGCGGTGGCACAGTGGTGAGACCACTGCGCTATGAAGAAGGCAGCTAGATTTCGATTTAAAGCTTTCGTGACTGCAGGGATTCATCTTCTTGGTTCTTTCGGTAAAGTCACGTAGAAGGGAAATAATAAAATAATAAAAATAAAACATTAAATAATTCTCACGACGTTTCGGCCACAACGCAAGCAGCCGTCCTCAGGTGAAAACCATGTCTGTCGAGGCGACAGTGTCTGAATGAAACAGCACACGTGCTTGGAGCATATATTTAAGCTGGGTTGGAAGGGGGGGAAAGGGTGCCTTGACAAAATAATTTGCATAGCAAGAGGAATTTAGCATATTTATACATACATTCATTTCCCATAAATATGCTAAATTCCTCTTGATATGCAAATTCTTTTGTCAAGGCAGCTAGAGTTCGATTCCCGGTCAAGGCTACCATCCTCGGTGAGTGAAATCTAACATGTGCAAAGCGTTGATGGTGTACGGTGCTTTTTCTGCAATATTTTGCTGTCTTTTCTTGGATTTTCTGTTTGCACATAGTTACTTTAAGATGTTTTCTTGTTCATTTCGTTTATTTGTTTGTTGCGGTTGCACCCGATTCAAGAGCCGAATGGCTCACAGGGCTATACCTAATAAATGAAACTTGAAATTTGAAATTAAACTTGAGTGTTCTCCCGTCATACGCGGAGTTTTCTCTGGTCACTCCGGTATCCTTCACAATTTCCTGGATAAATAAAGGGCGAATTACTGTTATTGGTGCTGTGCTTGGCAAGGTGACAAGTTCAAATCTCAGCCAAGAGTTGACTCAGCACATTATCCCGAGCAGGAGTGCAATAAAATGAGAACAATATTGTGTCGAGTCAACAATCGATGTTCTATGAAGAGAATGACAATTACCGCTGGAATGTGGAATGTTGACTGAGGGCTCAGGGCTCTAACCGATTAGGAGACAATGGCTTTGGGTAATTGTGAAAATAACACATTCCTGCGGAGGGAGCTGGTAGGAACGTTGGGTTGCTCGGTCAGGGCATGGTGTATTCCGCAAATATGCCCGACTGTGAGGGTGGGCACAAGCCGGCATGAGTAGGTTAAACGTTGAGTTTTATAAGGGCACCACGGGGTGACCAGCCCCTCCCCACCCAGCCCTCCCACCCCCCACCCAGCCCCACCCTCCCCACTCAGCCCCTCCCCACCCTCCCCACCCAGCCCCTCCCCAACCTCCCCTCCCCACCCAGCCCCTCCCCACCCTACCCCTCCCCGTCCTCCCCACCCCACCCAGCCCCTCCCTGCACGACGGACGGACACAATAATCCCCTGTGAGCTGGTGGAACCAGTGGGTTCCTACCAGTAAAAATAACGATAATATGTACAGCCCTTTTTGTCAATCCACTGCTGGGTGAAGGTAGCGCCTCCGGTAATGGGTGTTGTCTGACCACAGTTAACCACACTGGCCGGCACGGGGTTTATTTTCAGGGGAGGCCCAAGACCGGTTAGACCAGGAGGTCGGCAATCTGCTTCTCCGGAGCCGCGTGCGACTCTTCGCGGACTGATTCGTGACGTGTGGTGTGTGTCGTACGTATTTCACGTGCATTGCGGCTCTTGAAATATCGAGTTTTGTACCGAATTCGAAAAAATGCCGAACCCCTGGGTTGGACACAACGTGTCACCGAATCAAACGCTGGGTCGCCAGTTTCACAATACAGTGAACTAATCACTGTACCGCAGTTGCATCCTTAAGTTGCTGCACTTTCTACCAGTGAAGCCTTGATTTTAACAAAGCTACGCCTATCCCATTTCACAGCGTTCCACCACAAGGCGTTGAGAAGACACCTCCTGTGTGGTACGCGTGGTTCATTAAGTTGAGAGATGAGCACATCTGCACGACAGACTAACAGTGCACATAGCAACATCTGTGTTAAAGGCGACATTAAGGGGATTTGGGAGGGGCGGAAGGCACAATTACACCCAGCTCAAATTAACTTTGCAGACATCACTTTTCATCAACATTTAGCGGTTGTAAATTATATCAAAGAGCACAGTTTGACTCTAACCCTGACAATTATTTACCTTGAGCTGACAACTTAATGTGTACGACTACAGAGGGTTAATGATTAAACCTCCCTTGCAAACAAATGTCCAACTTTGGAAATATTGACACATGGGCAACCCAATTAAAATTTGGACAAATTTCTCACGTATTTTGTCTTGCGAAAATTAACGAAGAGCTCGGGTTATCAATGTGTGATCACACCACAAGGCGGCATTTAGCAGACTCGTGAGAGGCAGCCACGACACCGTGTGTCCTATTACGAGAAGCATAACTTGCGATGTCCTTGAGGTCAAAGTAAAGGTCACAAGTCAGCGTTTATAAATTCCACGAAATTGATGCACTTGCTTATGGGATATTTGCGACCGACTCGTCTGTACCGTGCCCAGAAAATAATTTCACATGGCAGCCCCCAAGGTTAAACCCTGAACTTTGATCAATTCAATAAAGTCAATGCCCACTGTGCCTTCCTCGTCTTGTTTCTATAAGAGCTACATGCATAATGCTTAACTACGGCAAACAACCTCACGGAAAATATTCAGCGCAGTCCATACAGATGTGTGTAATCATAAAGAATAATTTACCGCCGTTTAGTCAACTCACTGTCGGGTTTATGCTTCCCTACACCAGTGTCAGTCATGGGGAATGATGTTTGACCGTACTCTACCATGCTGGTCATTGTGGCCTGGCCAAAGAAAGAGACGTACAGAATCTTCAAAACTTGTGTCTGACAGGCCAGGTCACAGCCTCGGAGCTTTAAGTGTTATCGCCACATGTGGTGTGTGTGTGTGGGGTTTCCTCCCTCCCCATATCCACCCCCCCATACCCCCCCCCCATATTTCCCCCGATGTGCATCAATGCTAATTAATGGAATTGGCCAAATATGCCAATGCGGGACGCTCCTGAAAATAAAAAGTCACCACCAATGTTCGACGTGCCCGTTAATCAAACTCCTGACGCCAGGTTTGTAAGCGCAGTGCTTCAACCACTGCGCCACCACTCCATCACAGCTAATCACATCCATTAGCACTTGCAACCACTGGCCCGTCCACTGCAAGGCTGCGCTCGAGTCCGGGACACGTCCGCCGTACGCGTCTAGCGGGACTCACTGAGCATCCATACTGCAGGGCAAACGTGACGAGCGAGTCGCCCTCCCGCACTTCGCGCTCCAGGAAAATGACGTCCGCAAGCGGCGCCCGCTCGCCCGTCATCCTCGCGCCGTCGCGAGTGGCTCGCACCCGCAGCTCGATGGCGTCGGTGGCGCCGGTTTCCGTGGCGACAGCGGCGCCGGAGGTTTCCGCGGTGACGGCGGCGGTGACGGCGGCATCGGCGGTGGCGGCGATGAGGGCCGTGGACTCGTCGTCTTCGTCCGACGAGAGCGTGCCGAGCGGTGGCGAGGAGGAGGAGGAGGAAGTGACGTCGCGTCTGTCGCCTTTGCCAGTGCCGCGACCTCCGGAGAAGATGTACGAGTTGCTGGGGTCGTCGACGGGGTTGGGGAACGGAGCGACGGCACCATAGAGGCGGCCGGGCATCGCGAGCGATCGCACAGAGGCCCTGGCGACAGCACGGGTGGGCAGGGAAGAGAACACAGGCGAGATGACGCAGTAGGCAAGGCTGGGGAAGTTACGGCCCATTGAGCCTGATATGACAAGTGATCACATTTGGCCTAGAGGTTTGAAACAGACCACAAACAATCTTGATCCATCACTACCAGCATCTCAGCAACACTAAAAGGGTACTAGAAGGCGAATGTTTGACTTGGAAACATTCAGTGCACTGCGTGACGTCTGTCACTGCATAATGTACGGCCCGCAAAATATGTTTGAAAATCCTATTCAGCCCTCGGCGACGGAAAAGATTCCCCACCCCGGCAGAAGGCATGAGACATGTAACGAGTCACCCCACCAAAGTGACTCAATTATCAGAAGGGTGTTCTCCGTAAAGCTTACAAACGTGTGTATTCTTTTAAGACCGCTTGCTAGGAACACTGTACAATGCAATTCATTACTGTATTATCTCCCCACAGATTGCCGCACAGAGAGCTTAATAACTGGGTCCCATTTATAGGGTTGCTTGCTTAAATGCCTCCAACATCTCAAAGCGTCTTAGATCACATCTCAACAATTACGATGCCCTGCTGCAATCTATCGAAGGGAACCCCTCGTGACAAGGCAGCTGTCCCTGTGCGGTGCAACAGCCTGCAAATTGGCACGAGTCTGCCAGTAGGAGGCAAACCACGACACGGCCACTCTCCCACACATGCACACCAATAGCACAGTGGATAGAGAGCTTCACTTGCAAATCAGGTCATGAGGTCAAATCCTAGGACTCTACTTAGCCCATCACCCTGCCAGGGTGCATAAAATATTTACCGCTGGTTCGATAGACAGACTGTCCCCTACTCTTAGGTTTTTTCGGTAAAGTCACGTGGGTAAAAAATTACAATTAAAATTAATAAAAGTAATAATAGAAATAAAATAGAAATAAAATAATTATTACTTTTATTAATTTTATTTTTCACCTAGGTGACATTACCGAAAAAACCTAAGAGTATGAATCCTTGCAGTCACGAAAGCTTCAAATCTAGACTGTCCCCTGCCAGAGAAGTGTGAATTTCTACCCAAGATCAGATGAAAGCACCACCCCAATATTTGTTATTAATAGACACGTGATATTCACCACAATTTCTCTGGAGTTGACAAAATAGGTAGAAAATAAAATAGGTAGTATCACTCTGGGAAGTCAACGACAGTTGCCTTAAGAATAGGGAATCGCCCCGCCATATAGATCTCCACCAATGGTTAAGGCCCATTCATGGAGATTAGCAACACCCCACATTCATGTGTTAAGGCAGATGATACAACTTTTGACATGTATAACAATACTAGCCTTTTGCCCATCCAAGGACGGGTGTATTGCAGTAAATCTGAAATTTGCAAGCGAAATATTCATTGCATTAACGCGTGCGCAATTTGTAAAGGCGCGGTGAAACAGACCTATTTCATTTTAATGTTATAAGCCCTTGTTCATCATGACGTCCTTTTTACTTCGATGTCTCAACAGCGTTACGGAGATCACGTGACGTGAGGGTTCTGCCTTTGTCGTGAGGGTTGTGAGTTAACGCCGAGGAGGGGGGAGGAGGCGCCTCGGCCCCCCCATGTGGAGGACGTCACCCGCTAATTCATATTAATGAGGGGGCTAATACAGTTACATGCTAATTTCTCACATTAACATCACTAGCCCCGGCCACTTTTTTATGACCCTTGGGCTACACCCATTTCAAACCTTTTAAAACAGTCTGCCTCAGCAGCAGGCCATGCTTTCCCACCTGGTGACGGGACGCTTGTGTTGCGCCCGAAACGTCGTGATTTATTTTATTTTATACGGCTGCTTGCGTTGTGGCCGAAACGTCGTTAGAATTGTATTTTATTATGTTTTATTTTTATTATTTTATTATTTCCCTTCTACGTGACTTTACTGAAAGAACCAAGAAGATGAATCCCTGCAATCACGAAAGCTTTAAATCGAAATTAATTTTATACCTACGTGACTTTACCGACAGAACCAAAGAGTAATGAGGGGGGCTGTTCGATGTGGAGTGACGTCACCTGCTCATGATTATTAATGAGGGGGGTCCATGTGGAGGACGCAACCTGTTCATGATTATTAATGAGGGGAGCTGTTCGATGTGGAGTGACGTCACGAGCATTAAGGACAGACATTCCTGGGTGATTATAGTGGGTACAGTACTAGAGTAATGCAAATGCACGATTTCCATATTGTTATGACCAAACCACCCAGAATGTGCCAAATATCATCAGATCTCATAAGCTCATCAGGTATGGGCCTGGACATTGCTCGGATGGGTGACCACCACGCATATCAGGTGTTATAGGTTGTAGGGTCTCGTGGTGGGTAGCAGAGGGCAGTTCAGCTAAATCCACTGTTGTACCATACTTCTGTGCTCCCGCGCATCTATACTAATACAATTGAGTGTTTTGACTGTGAAAATGAGAGGTACAAGAAGCCAGGCAAGGCAGTTAATTAAACTACATAAGCAATTTGAACAAATGGATGCAACTAAGGAGTATCTAATGCAACAATCGTGATGTAAATATCAAGGCCATAATCCCCAACGCCTTTGAGACAGCTTAAAAATACGCTGCCAAGCTTAGCAGCGTTCATTAGGACGCTGTCTTTCCGACAGCCCTATTCGTCACCTGAGGACGGCTGCTTGTGTTGTGGCCGAAACGTCGTGAGAATTTTATCCTATTATGTTTTATTTTTTTTATTTTATTATTTCCCTTCTACGTGACTTTACCGAAAGAACCAAGAAAAAGAAGAAACTACTCCAATGCTGTGGGAGTGGACTGTAATATTCCAATACACGTGTCTCCTACAGCTGACAATATTTTTATTTAAAGCTTTCGTGACTGCAGGGATTCATCTTCTTGGTTCTTTCGGTAAAGTCACGTAGAAGGGAAATAATAAAATAATAAAAATAAAACATAATAAAATACAATTCTCAGAGAATTGTATTGTGAGAATTGTATTTTATTGTAACATTTTTATTATTTTATTATTTCCCTTCTACGTGACGTTACTGACAGAATGTGTGTATGTGGCATCATATGAAGCTGTCACACACCTTAAAACATGTCTGCGCCATTTAGTCACACCAAATTCTAACTACAGCACTTTTGCCTGATGACGACCGCTCGTGTTGCGATCGAAACGTCGTGATTTGTTTTATTTTATTTCTAACTACCTGACTTCACCCAAAGAACCAAAGAGTAATCACTCTATGTATTGTTTAAATATATACAATAAGAGCCATTGTGTTCATCCATTGCTGGGTCGTGATTTGACCATACTTCACCACGCTCGTTTGTGTGGCTTGTTTGAAGGAGGATAACGTAGACGTGGGAGCATAGCAACATTGTACGGTACTCCACAATGGATTTTGCCCCACTGCTCTCTGCCACTCAAACGTTGCACAGTCATAAAGCCATCGACCACAAATCTGGCACGCGAGGTGGTCACCTATCCAAGAGCTCGCCAGCTTCAACCCCGCTTGGCTTCCCCCTCCGCACATCTGGCGAGACTCATGGGGTCAACGTGTCACCCCCACGGTCACACGGCACCTGTATGTCCACACGACAATTCTCTGTGAACGACGGCACACCCGTGAACACACGCAACCAATTCTGTCGAGCGTCAGGCTCGGTGAATTTACACGTAAATTTTATTATTTTTAACGCCATCGTCAAGACAGAGTTTTCTAAATTGGAGTCACTTTCGACGATTAAAACCAACCCGTGCCGTATGTCGGATACGTTTGCCCCAATGCAGCACTCTTAACGCGTCCCTGTCAACCCATTATTGGTTGGCCACCTTATTGCGGACCAATTCTGAACGTATTGGTCACCCCGTGTCCTTAAAAATCTCAACGTTTATCCTACGAAGTCCCATCACAAGGGAGAAACACAAATAGACACTCACCACTAGTACACTCACCACTACACTCACCACTAGTACAATCACCAGTACACTCACCACTAGTATAATCACCACTACACTCACCACTAGTACACTCACCACCACTACACTCACCACTAGTACACTCACCAGTACACTCACCACTAGTACAATCACCACTACACTCACCACTAGTACAATCACCAGTACACTCACCACTAGTACAATCACCACTACACTCACCACTAGTACAATCACCAGTACACTCACCACCACACTCACCACCACTACACTCACCACCACTACACTCACCACTAGTACACTCACCAGTACACTCACCACTAGTACAATCACCACTACACTCACCACTAGTACAATCACCAGTACACTCACCACCACACTCACCACCACTACACTCACCACCACTACACTCACCACTAGTACACTCACCACTAGTACACTCACCACTACACTCATCACCAGTACACTCACCACTACACTCACCACCACTACACTCACCACTAGTACACTCACCACCACACTCACCAGTACACTCACCACCACTACACTCACCACTACACTCACCACCAATACACTCACCACTACTACACTCACCACTACACTCACCACTAGTACACTCACCAGTACACTCACCACTAGTACAATCACCACTACACTCACCACTAGTACAATCACCAGTACACTCACCACCACACTCACCACCACTACACTCACCACCACTACACTCACCACTAGTACACTCACCACTAGTACACTCACCACTACACTCATCACCAGTACACTCACCACTACACTCACCACCACTACACTCACCACTAGTACACTCACCACCACACTCACCAGTACACTCACCACCACTACACTCACCACTACACTCACCACCAATACACTCACCACCACTACACTCACCACTAGTACACTCACCACTAGTACACTCACCAGTACACTCACCACTAGTACAATCACCACTACACTCACCACTAGTACAATCACCAGTACACTCACCACCACACTCACCACCACTACACTCACCACTAGTACACTCACCACTAGTACACTCACCACTACACTCATCACCAGTACACTCACCACTACACTCACCACCACTACACTCACCACTAGTACACTCACCACCACACTCACCAGTACACTCACCACCACTACACTCACCACTACACTCACCACCAATACACTCACCACTACTACACTCACCACTAGTACACTTACCAGTACACTCACCACTACACCCACTAGTACACTCACTAGTACACTCACCACTAGTACACTCACCACTAGTACTCACCACTAGTACACTCACCACTACACTCACCACCAGCACTCACCACTAGTACACTCACTACTACACTCACCACTACAAACCTGTCAACTCCTTATCAGTGCCCTATCTTATCACAGATCAATAAATTCAGATATTATTGGCCGCGCCGTGTCCTTATACATCTCAACGTTGATCCTACAAAGTCCCATCACAAGGGAGAAACACAAACAAATAGACAAAATTACGTTACTAAAACATGTTGTTGCCCGTATTGAAACGTCTGTACGCCGTATGGACGTGAAAACTCACTTTATCTGTACAAGAATACGGGGTAAACCGTGTGGGTTGACAGCTAAAGATGCATCAAAAGTAACTTTACCCGTCGTATTGTTACCTTGTTTAACCAAAGGCTTCAACTCGCGTGGAACAGCCCGAAACACAAAGCACGAAGACAAACACAAAGACGGGTAATATTACGAGAGAGAAAAAACCTTACATATTTACCAATAACACTGCCCTTAAAAGTAAACTGTAGTAAAGAATAGGCGACGGTTCAGGCAATGGCCCTTTTTCATAACACCTCTGTTACTGTCGAATGTATTTCGGCCTTTTTTCTTACGACTAGTGCCTGTGTATCACTGTCTAAACAGTTCCACAAAGCGTGTTTGTTTGTTTCTTAGAACAGACTAGGCCCGAGACGCCGGGGAGGGCCTGAGTGGCCTGGATTGCCTACCGAGAAGGAAGCGCCTTCCCCGGCGGGGAGTAACGACAACCAGCGGTGTCACCACACGGGGTCACAAAACACCGGATTTTTTTTTTTTTAATGTTCAACCAAAACACCCACTTACCGGTTCGCGCGAGTTAAATCCTAACTCAGAGTTTAAAGGGGGAGCGGGAATTGTTCATGCAAGTTTAGGGTGGGAGCCGTTATGTTCCGAAAAGTCTCTACGTGTCCTGCAGCCGGGCTTGAGACGTCAGCCATTTGCACTCGGGAGCTACCACTCCCAGCGAAGGGGTGATGCTAAAACTTATCAATTTTATACTTTGACTTCGATAACATAATTGTAATTATATTTACTCAAACAATATATTTTTAGTTTTACTATCAAATATATCTGATATTCACGGTCGCTCTGTCATTGTATTGCTGTTTGAGATGTAAATATCTCGTCTGTGACCCCCCTATTTAAAGCGGTAAGTTGGCTCGTTCCAAATGATGACGTCAACACAATGCAAACGCGACAGAATCTTCCGGAAGATGCTTCCAAAGTTGGCAATGCATCTTCCAGAATGGTACAATATTTTTTAATCAAAATTTAATATTTTAAAAGTTACAGTGTAACCTCGGTATACGTCGTGAATTCGTACCGAAAATGATGTATACCAAACGAATTTTTCCCGTAAGAAATTAAGGAAATAATCCATTCCAGAGGAAAATAAATAATATTTTATATGGCATATTATACATGAATGGGGTTGTATAAAATAATTTAGACACTATACTCTTATGTTTTTTTCGGTAAAGTCACGTAGGTAAAACAATGAGAATAAATGGAAATAACTAAATTTAGTTATTTTAAAAAAATGACAATAACTATAATAATAATACAATAATAATAAATGAAAATAACTAACTAAATTGAGTTATTTTCACTTATTATTATTTTATTATTATTTTTTACCTACGTGACTTTACCGAAAAAACCTAAGAGTATGAATCCTTGCAAGTCACGAAAGCTTCAAATCTAGAATTTAGACACTAATTACTCAAATGCCTACAGAAGCCACGTGACCGCGCTGCTGCCACCTGCGCTGGTCACGTGGCGTGCCTCACCCCGCACGTCGCGCGCGCTCGACCCGGGGCTCCACCCTCCATGGGGGCAGCCCCCCACGTGCCCCGCCCCTCCCCCCCACGTGCCCCGCCCCTCCCCCCCACGCCCCCCGCCCCTCACCCCCACGTGCCCCGCCCCTCTCCCCCACGTCCCCCGCCCCTCTCGCTTAGTTTTAGTCGTATCCCAAGCAAGACGTCGTATTTCTAGATTTGAAGCTTTCGTGACTGCAAGGATTCATATTCTTAGGTTTTTTCGGTAAAATCACGTAGGTAAAAAAATTAAAATTAATAAAAGTTAAATAAAATAAAAATCACGACGTTTTCGGAGGCTTTTATTAATTTTCTTTTTTTACCTACGTGATTTTACCGAAAAAACCTAAGAATAAGACGTCGTATTCCAAGACAAAAAAAACACGACGTATACCAAATTCGACGTATTCCAAAGCGGTTGTATACCGAGGTTCCACTGTATTAACTCCACTTTTTTTTTTTATTTTAGAACGACTACGGACAATATCTCTCAATTAGCCCTAGCTCTATCAAAACCGTGCGGTATACAGCAGTTCAACATGAAACCCACAGATCTCTGTACAAGTCAATTCCTGTCACCCCGAACACATGCCAATTCGTAATCTGAATATGTATTTTATGCTGGAGGAATCTGATGAGCTATAAAGCTTTTTTCCCACAGATGTTCCAGTATGGGCGGGTCAAAACGTAACAGCAACAAACGATACAAAAACACGATAGGAGTGCGAAGCATAGGAAAAGTAAACCAACACTTTTACCTTACCAGGTAAAGTCCACTGAGGTGTTAACTTTTTTCAGAAGCGACCTCGCCAAAAATAATAGCTCAATAAAGTGGCTTATCATGTGGAAATTTACAGCAGCAAAATCATGTACAAAAATCTAAATGCATGTTTCAATTCCTGGTAACATTACAGATCGTGAATTTGGAAAATGCTGCAGATTCCATTCATGTGCAAAATGTGTCTTCATTGTCTAACACTGCGGCTAAGTTGTTAGCAGAGAGCAGGGCAGAAAAAAAATTGTTGTACTGTACTTCTACGCAACGTATATTCTCCCCGCCTTCACAAACCGAACAGACCAGCGTGGTGAAGTATGGTAACATAACCCCCCACGACCTGCACGCCATAGGCAGGTCCTCATCCAACTGTGGCTTGACCAAAGGTTTGCCCTTGTAAATGCTTATGGATTTACACTAAACATACCTTGTGCCAACGTTGGCATGGAATGTAGTTGGAACCGACTGACCAACATTAGCCCACTGTTCCACGTTTACAGGGTTATTGTGTTGTTTTGCTTTAGTCGTGACTGATTGTGGGTGGTTTATTGGGTTGTACTGATTTAGTGATGGCTGAGTGTGGTTTACGGTTTTGTTTTTCTTGTAAGTCACACATTGTGCAATGCAATTAGCCGCAGTAAAGCTTTTTTCGGAACGGGATGAATTGCTGCTGAATAGAATGCTCAATCTGAACGTTGGTTTTTAAAGATGCCCATCTATTGGCGCTTAAATGCCCCCATCATCTCACAGCGCCACACATCTCATCTCAATCACTCTAGCGGCCAGATGTAGTTCTCGTTTAAGCCTAGGGGACCCCCTGTTGAAAGCTGTCCCTATGTGGTACAAGTAATTTACGAGGTAATTTTTACAATGTTTGCACATTTTGGACCTTGACGTCGGCACAAATGAACAACTGTTTTTTTTCCAAAAACGTCACGGAATCTTTAACGTCCACTGTGGTGCTTGCGATTAGTACACCCGGCACTATTAACCAGGGCAACCGGGGTCATGAACCGCAAACCGTTCCAACAAGCTTGCGACCGCGCGCAACCAGCCTAAAATAAAAATGTATTCCTTGTGAAATTCAGTTTATGGACAGCAGAGGGCAGACGTGTTGCACACCCTAACGCGAATTCCGCAGTTGTAATCTACAGATGTATGTGAATCCCGTGGAAGTCATTAATTCTTATGGCTACTGATGTTAGATGCAGAGTAGCAACTATAATGTCACATTTAGGTGATCAAGCCAGACAACAGTGTCAAGAGCAGCGGCGTATATCGTCGCTGCAATGTCTCCGTATTTGTGGAATTGAGCATTGTGCCATACGTTCTATCGTCTCTTCTGGATGACTACAGTCACCTACTACGAGAGAGTTTTTAATTTTCCATTTGTTGCATTAGGTACCCGCATCTGCTGCCATGGTTTGTCCAGTGGGTGCGGTTTAGGGTGAACCATGAACTTCGTGGTTCTGCGTTGGGTTTGCTGTACTTGTGTCTCAGTACTTGTCCCATTACTATTCCGCAGTAGAATATACCTGTGCTTGATAATGTAAAATGTTCAGCCCAGCAACTGCTAGCTCACCCCACTATTGGTGGAAAGGTCTCCAACTCGAAGGAGTTCTAGAGAGAGAGAGACCTTCCAAATGATATTTGGCTATACTCTTCTCGGCTGGCCGCACGTCATGGAAGAGGTGGTAGTACCCATAATTCACCCCACCACACGTGACCAGCCGATCGATAGAGTGCTCAGGGAGTGAAGAAGCCTGCACCATTGTTTCAACTGCTGTGCTGAGAGATTGAACCGGTGATCTGTGAATTGGAGGCTTAATGTGCGAACAAATCGTACCACGGCAGCTTCCCAATGTACCTCGACTCTTAATAGACCCAGTGTGAAATATTTGTAAAAGCAAGTTTGTTGTCTGTAATGATGATATTAAAACTAAAATAAACTTGAATTATTAAACGTATTGTATTACTGCCAAACGTGTTAAGACTTTAGAATGCAGTGTTACGTGATATTAATGTTGCTAATAGGTTGTTTGAACTTATAATGTTTGTTTTTTGGCAATAACACCAACACATAATGATCCCCTTACAGGGTCTTTGCCATCGCCTTCATGGCAGACGTTGGTAATTTGATTGTATCTGGTATTGAACCACCAATTCTATGGTACGTGGATCGGTGCTTTGTTCTGCAATCTCTAGGCTATTGAATGGCATTCATACAAACTTGGCTCCTACCACAGAAATGTGAAGTTTCCATTGTGAACATAAATGCACTCATTGATCAATTGCAATTGCATTTTGATGGTGAGCAAAGTTTCCAATCAGTACATCTTGCCGGTTATAATCTATGGATCAGACATATATGAGGACGGCTGCTTCAGTTGTGGCCGAAACGTCGTGAGAATTGTATTTTATTATGTTTCATTTTTATTATTTTAGTATTTCCCTTCTACGTGACTTTACCAAAAGAACCAAGAAGGAGTGTAAAAGCACATAAGGCAAAACCTGAAAAAACTAAAAAAAATGCCTGGATGGGTAAATTGCCATAGTTAAATGACAGAAAGCCGAACGTATGGATCAGGGAACAAACGCATATCAGAGGCATCATGTTAACTGATGTGGTTTGTATCCAGTCAGTGGTTTGTATCCAGTGTGTGTTAGCATGGTCAATGCTTGACTCATAACCGGAAAAAGTTGTGAGGTAAATTCCCAGTAAGTCGGAGGGAATTGAAAGGGAAAGGAGGGGGAGGGGCGGTCACAGGCCAACCTCCCCCTTCTCAACTCTTATTGTCAAGAGTCATGAGACTCAGTGAGGATTTGCTGAGTAAACAAGCATTATAATAAGAACAACAAGTTACTGAAATAATGGATACACGTTGTTCTCACGCACGCACACACGCCCACACTGACTTGTCCGCTGCTGCTGCTGCGGTATTCTCATTTGAATTGGCGAGCTCCGAGTGATGCCACATGCCGTTCTGCAATCGCTGGAGGGAGCTGTGCACAAAATGCAAAAACGAGTCTCCACATATAACACTGGTCAACAACAAAAAAAAACATTTTTTTTATGGCCTGGACTTTTGCAGCTGTTTTAGACTAATTTCAGGGTGCTGATTCCAAATCTGATCTCAGATTTGCTATATCACATCTCATTTTATGCTATCGGCATACCCCATTTTCATTGATTTTACCCGAAATTAACTCTGTCACTTGTGATTGCAAGTTGTTGCGAGTCAGTGACTGCTTTAGTGTTAAAATATGGTGCTGTATTTTTAGGATAGTGTGTTTATAAGATCATTTTATGTAGATATCCACATTTATTTAATATTTTTCTTCTGCAGTTTTTATTGAAAATGCAATTATTGATATCTCAAAAAGCCTGATGTGATAGACAGAAACTGAT